AATTCTGGGAGTTGAAGTCCACCCATCTTAAAGCTGCTGAGGTTGAGAAACACTGGACCAGAGTCTTCCAGACGGCCTTTGGGATCCGAAGGTCAGCTTACAGTCTGTTCTGAATATTGTGTTGGGTCCCACTTTCGGACAGTCGGTTACGACACACAGCGCTCGTTTATTCTTGGAGTAGAATTAGGGTATGGTCATTGTTAGCACGATGCTTTTACTCTCCGGCACGGGCATCTGCACCTTCGCAGCCTTTTACAGTTCATACTTTCACTGCAGTTCTACTGGGGATGTTGGAAGGGTTGGAAGCCGGCATGAGTCGTACTAAAAGCGGCGGCTCGCACTTTGGATAAATAAGCAAACGTGTTTTTAGAGCAACTGCTTCTCAGGACGATTTTTCTGTGGGTCGCGTAACCAGGCCCCCCCGCGCTGCCTGCTCTTCTCCCCGGCCAGGCCTTGCACGACTGCGTCGAAGATTTGGTGCAGCCGTTTTGGAACGATGCCATCGACCAGGTGGTTGGAATCGACGCCATGGGCTTCATCCTGGGTTTGTCTCTGCCAGTCTTTCCCTCCCCACCACCCAAATCCTTAGCTCAGGTTGGAGACCAATTTTCGACAGCCAGGTTCACCCCGCACGGTTGGGGTTCCCTCTTTAGGGTGCCTGGCTGCAAACTGCTAACCCGGGGGGTTCCCCAAACAGTTGCACCCAGATGCCACTTTCCATAAAGGAGGGCAACAAGGCTGTCAGATGCCAGCTGCTCTTTCTCTTTTAGTTTCTCTCCTTGGGGCGTGCTGAGAATTCTGGGGGCTGCACTTCTTCCTCTAGAAGGCCTCTGGTTTGGAAAGGCCGAGATAGAATTCAGGTTAGGGCAGGGTGCTTCAGACTGGCTTATAGTCCCCATCCAGCCCCAGCGCTCCTTGGCTGGTGACTTTCGATCTGCTGAATCTACCTTGCAGGGTTGTTGTTGCCAGAATAAAACGGGGGCAAAGGCACTGCTTAGCAACCATCAAGCAGTGGACCCGCTCTCCCCAAAGGCTTTCAAACGGGGGCAGCTTGGTCCCCTGCCAAGGGGGGTTCCCTGGATTCAGGGCTGGACTGGATGACCCCTGAGGTCCTTTCCAGTTCATCACGCAATGACTCTAGGAGTGCAAGGAGGAATTGGATAAATACCTTACTAACGATCAGCTGCCCCGTGGACCAGGATCTGTGGCCTCTCTCAGGAAGGACAAATGACACCTCCCGCTTTCCTCCCACTCAGGCGCCGCCATTGCCGTCACCCTCCAAAAAGGCTTTGTGGCCATCCGCAAAGTCGGCCACCTCTGTGTCGAGACCTTCACCCAGACCTACAGGGACTACTCAGCCCGTGACAAAGTGATGGAAATCCGGACAGATGCCATCCGCCCAGGTGGGGGCTCATGCAGGGTTCCTTTGCTGGCAGAGGGCCCACTGCTGGGTGCGGGCATCGGCCATGGGACACCTGCACAGGGATGGCATCGTGGCATCCACCCCTGGGCCCACCCAGCTGGAAATTATGCTTGCAAACTTCAGCCCCGCCCACCGGGACCCCTTTCAAAGGTTGGGGGGAGTGAGATCAGCATGCAGACCCACTTTGGTTCTGTCCCTCCCTCCAGGCCTCCGAGTCTTGCTGGTGGATCAATGGGTGGAGACGGGGGGAACCATGCGAGGTGCCATCCAGCTGGTGGAAAGGCAAGGTGGCGTGGTGGCAGGTAAGGGTGGGAGGGGGCACCCAGCGTGGCTTTTGTCCCAGTGCCAGGCCGGAGGGCTGGTGTTTGAACCTCCACATGGAGGCTACAGCACTGGCAGATCCGGCTTATGGGCCTCCTGGAGGCACGACGGCTTTGGCCCGGCCCAGCAGGGCTTTTAAAACTCATTTCAGCTGCCCCAAGCGCAGCCTCCATGTTCACGGATAGTCTACCTCAGGCTACCAGATTGCATCACCCGAATTTTTGCAACCCGGCCCCTCCCGAGGTGTTCAAACTGCAGCTCCTCTCCACCCACCCAGAGGGCACCAGGTTGGAGAGCAAGGTGCAGGCCGGGTAAGAGCACGTGCGTTGATTCCTGCTGACCTGTGAAGCAGGATCTCGGATGAGCCGGACATCTGGCCTGCTCTGCTGCTCTGGCACTCGCCCACTGATGCTTCCCTTGCCCCCCCAGGTATTGCTGCCATCTGCATTGAGGACAGTGACAGCGGCCGCTGGCTCAAATCCCACTATAAGTGGTCCCACTGCGTGCCCCCTCACCTGATGCCCCAGTTCAACGCTCACCAGCTGGACTCCTTCCAGGCCTTCCGATCCAGGCCCCCGAGCGAGGAGCAGCCACAAGGGCACCCGAGCCGCATCCTCACCCAAGCACGCCAAGGGGTTGGCAGCACCCCTGCTTAGCCTGTGCCTTCTGTGCCCCCAACAGACCCTTCCTCAGGCCCAGAACGGATTCACTTCCCCTAACCCTGTCTGCCGAGCAGCTTCTGCGGCTCCAGAAAGCAGACCAAGCTGGTCCCAGCACAACCAATAAACCTGCCGTGCCAAGAACATTTATGCGCATATGTATGTATTGATTGGCTGATTTATGCACCATCAAGTCGTCGCTGACTCTTAGAGACCACGTCGATAGATTTTCTCCAGGAGGACCTGCCTGGTCCTTCCGTGCAGCCATCGCCTGCCTCCAGCAGCCACTGCTGTGCCCAACGCCCCCGATGCATTCAGAAGGGCCCCCACTGGGGACTCCCGCCCTGGCCGTAGGGCCCCTTTTCTGGTGCAATCCACCCCTTTGCTGGGGGGCTTCCTGCCCCTTTGCCTGGACTGCACCTGGGTGACCTCCTGCTGACCGACAGAGACCTTGACGCTGCACTGCCCACAGGAGGACCCAGTTCAGGAGAATCGGAGGGAGGGGAGAGGCAATCACGGACCCCCTGCTACTCACTGCAGAGGGGCTTCTCGGAGAGGGGGACAGTTGTGCCCTCTGTGTCAGAGTCTGCACGCTCATTCCCAAAGCTCAGTAAATCCGCTGGAGACTAAACAGTTCCATTAAAGATTTCTTTA